TTTTTTTTTTTTTTTTTTTCATTGAAATGAAATTGAAAAATATTGAGTTGACGAGAAACTTAAAGTTGCGAATTTTTTAGACTTATTTTCAATTTTCAACAATATTAACACAATATTAGTATATTTGAAATATATTTGAAATAAACGTAATGAATGAATTTTACATATTAATAAATGATAAAAAATTAAAAAATTAATGATAAAAAATAAATGATAAAAAAGATAAAAAATTATTTAATAATAGAATGCTTGATACCTGGATTCTTTAGATAAGAATTAAATTATGTAAATTCTTGGCAAACATTTCGAAAGATATATTAAAAAAATAGCGTTTTTGAATGATTTTAAAATAAAATATATGAATACATAATAATAAGAATAAATTGATTTATAAAACCAACGATTTCTATAATTTCTAATCGACTCAATAAAAATTCAATAAGATCACAGCAGAGTTAGTCTTAGTATAATTTTCAAACACAAAAAATTTCTACACAAATCTTGCCTTAAATCGTTTGTTTAATCACTCATTAAGGAATTGCAGCAAGATGAAGGGCCGCAGGCTTATCCTGAATACATTTAGCAACGGTTTTTGATTTCTGCGAAATGCATTTTAGCGGGCAACACTCCTCTTCCAACGATCTGCGCTCACAAATCCTTCATATTCATTTACATTTATCATTATACCTTCCAATCAAATTTCCCGCAAACTTTCTTATTACCAAGATTATTCATCTCTCAACCTACTTGTCAAGACTCCAATTCTCGGTATAATCCTTCATCATTGACAGAGCCTGACAGAAATCCTGGCCGATGGCCTTCAAGTGTTTCGTGTCCAGATGCATACCCGCCAGCACTCCCTGGTCGCATCCGCAGAAACTGCTCTCCATCGTGTAACTTCTGCGCAAAATCGCAGAGAAAAGAGCATGAGTTAAATGCAATCTAATCGATCTTGAACGAAGATAAATCGGTAGCAGTCGTGTATGCAATACCTCGAAACACCTAACTGCCGCCATATGGCTACCCTAGCCGTGGACTCCTTGTGCCTCTCGACCTTGAACGAGCACAGTGGCAATGCGAACGCTGGAGATATTTTTTGCATGAGATACGGCAACGTCTGAAACGTGTATTGCGGCAGATATATCTTACGAGAAGATATTTATTATCATCATATATCGTTTAAGATTTTAACGATAAAATTATAATTAGAATTCGATGCGGATGCGATTGATAAACAGATTGAGGATAAAAATGTTTCTCGAAATTCTCGAAAAACCCGAAGAATATATTCTATTTCTAGAAACTTCCTTGAACTCAGGTTTAAACTCGATGTATAATAACAACAGTCGTTTTTTATTATATATAGAAACATAAGATTTTCACAATATGATCAATCTTAAAATTTATTCAATTTTTACTAACTGAATAAAATATTCATACAATTAAAAACATTCTTATAGATCATTTATACAAATTGTTACCCGAGTTTCAAGAATTTCGTATCAAAATAGCAAAGAACTTTT